ATGGAAATCCCTATTCAGGCTAACTTGGCATTTGCCATAATTTGCCCATTAATTAATTTTTATTTTCTCATGTTTGAATCTTCTAAAATAAGCTTAAAAGTGGGTGTGTTGTTATCATTCTACCCACACGTTTCCGGCATATGCTCATTAGCAGAAATGCTCTGCTGTGGAACTTTAGAGCCATTGCTATAAACCCTAGGATGGATTATAAACAGAACCAGTTCCAAAAGCAGAGGAGGCAAAGAGGGAAGGACAAATGACCACACTCAATACTGAGTCTGTCCTTGGGAGGCATAGGAATGTACAGCCCACCTGTTTTCACACTGGGGTCTTTATCCTCTCTTTTGATTGGTATTGTTGTACTAACTGCTTTGGGTTTCATTCTTCAACCCAGGTGCTGGGGTGACATTTCACTGACTCTTGGTTGGGATGATATCAGAACAAGAAGTACATGGATGCTGCCAGTCAGGACAGCTACTGCAGTGCAGGGACAGGGCCTTATATCCTCTGCTCTGCCAGGAATCACACCCACCCTTGCTGTATTGCAGAGACATCTAGGGGTCCAAGGAAGGGACCACAGTGGCGAGGGTCCTGGCAAAGAGGGCTACACTGGATAGTTGGTATTACAAACTGGTGCAGAAGTAATTTGATGTTTGAACAACTCTCTGGCATAGGGATACTGCTGTCTACATTGCCCTCTCTCCCAGGCCCTTTGTGATTTAACAAGGAGCATTCTAAACTGGGTGTGTCTCACAAGAACAGGCAAGGGCCGGTTTCACATAAAGTTATGTCAGTTCTCCCCTTCCAATACTTGTATTGTTTATACAAGAACAATCAAATGTATTGCCTGGAAATTTTCTTCACTGTGAGAGACCAGACTGTTTCCCATAATACATTTTTGCTGGAGTAGCTGGCTGGGCCAACCCAGCTCGGTTAGAAAAACACCACCGACCTCAGTCTGGTCAGCCCTGAACCAGACTGTTGTCCTCATGCAGACACCAAGCTATAGTACAATAGAGGATAGTTTGCCAGTGAATGTCAGTGGGTTGGTCAACAATTTAGTAATAGGGGCATTGTATTAAGCACACTGTCATGGTTATTATTCTTGAACATTGAACAACACAGCATCAACTCTGGACAGCATGTAAGAATTACAGTTTTTTTCTCTGAAGTAGTTTTGATAAATATCACACCCCCATCTGAAATATTTAGTAACAAAGTTTCCTATAAACTCAAAGACATACCGTGAGTTTTCAACACAAACAATATGAAATTTCAAATGAGCTTAAGTGATTATAATTCATATAAACTTATCAAAATATAAAGCATTTGAATCTGTAGAACATAAAGTACATTCTTGTATTATTAAATCATTTTTAGGGTATTTTTTTAAAATATGATTTTTCTGGAAGTATTCCACGCATCACTCAATATCTTGCTCTGTGATTTCCTCAGTCATTTTTTGCTCCCCAAATATTGATGGTGTTTTCTTTTTCCTTGCAGGAAAGAACTCAGAAAAAAATCTATATAAGCTTAATTCTAAGGTTTAATTTTTTAAAAAGACATTTCCAGCAACTACGCTGAGGATAGCAATGTGGAATACTAAAACCATGCTTGAAATACCTGTCGTTTTGGTCATCTAAATGCATACTGCTTCTCATGTCATACCAATTATTGCTATGCTCTCCTTAAAGTAATTTTTTAAAAAGATAGCAAAAGAAAACAAGAGAGAAGGAACAATATGCCACAGGATTGTCCTGCTACAATGTCATATATGGCTTGATTTCTAAATTTCTGTGTGAAAATGTGTTATTGTTTTTTCACATTTCATAGGGATTTAAATTTTAGAATATCCATGGGTGCTGGAAAATAGCAGTTCCATGTTATGTCTAAGGCATTTGATATTTAGATAGATAGTGATATTAAGCTCAACTGCCCCTGTTACTGGGTAATACTATCATCAAGATTCTCTTCTGGATGTTTAACAACTAAAGTTTGAAGGGCAAAAATTAGAGAACTATAGGGTTACAAAATAGCCAATATTTTGGCCCTAACCCTTCAAGCACAGTGAGGACTCAGGACATAAGAGAACCTGTACTGTGACATCCTATAACTCAGTCGTGTCTCAAATTTTCTGACCAAGGAGATTATGGGGCCACATAGGAAAGTGATTGACGACATATAGTGTGCCTAAGGAGAGTCACCTAGAGAGAAAAATTTATTTTAGGGTTTCACAGAAAGCAACTTGGTCAAGCAATGGCCATGACTCATCTACGTGGCTGACACTGACAAAGGATCTACAAGTTGCTGTACATGGTTCCAGTGTAAATTCTGAGGGGATTTGACTGACCTTGTCAGATACAAAAGTTACATTTTTAGTTATGTAGGTCTTGCTTTATCTTGGTCTTAACCATCCAGCAGAAAAGTATAAAAACGAAGTATAAAAAGCAGAGCCATATTAGTATTCTGAGCTGTAAAAGGCTCAAGTCAACAACTTCTAACAATTGCCAGTTGTGTGGATAACGCACTCCTATTATGGACTATTGAACTATATTGGGTTATTTTACTGAATTCAAATACCTAAAATCAATCTTTAGACTGGTTTCAAGTATGAAAAGGTCATTTAAAGACTTCTCCAAACACAGCTTCTCTAACTGCAGTGAAACACCCATCTCTGAAAAAAAAAAATGAAAAAAGGGGGATATGTTGGAAGTCACGAAGCTAGCAAATCAATCAAATATATGTAGGTGCATCCTAGCCCAGTGCCCAAAGCAAATAAGCTACCTCACTCCTGAGATGAACATCCTGTCTGGTTAAGGTTTACAATCAATTGGTAGGCAACCTAGTGTCTTTCATTATTAACTTCACAAAATTGTAAATAAAGGACAGTTTTGTTGTGAAAAAAGGGGGGGAAGGAACTATATATATACACACACATGCGCACAAGAGAGTTAGGATAGATATACAGCTACTTTCTCTTAGTTCACTGAGAATAAAAGTTTGTACTAATATTGTTTAGATAGATATCATGTCTGCATCTTGTCCTCTGAATAACTACTATGATGACAACAATATGCTATTTATTAATTATTGTAAATGTCCTACTAACCTGTTTTGAAACTGTTTCACTGCATTTTATTTTTCTCATTAAGATGAATAAAAATTATAATAAAAATAAAGACATTTACCCAGCTACATAAAAATATTAAATTAAGATTATTTTTCTCTTTAAACAAAAATAATATAGCAAGCTCATTTGTTTTTAGAATAATGTCAAAAATGTGATAGCACATATTCTTTTCTTATATAGGAAAATAATTTCTTATGATTATAGTTTAAGAAGGCCATAGTTTCTAAAGTGAGTTTCTATAAATTTCAGTCACAAAAATGTATGTCTACAGTTTTTGTTTTCTTTAAATCATAATTATTTCTTTTTAGCTGGTTTTAATTCAATTAAATATCTACCCTTATTATTTTAACACTGTAACAAATACTTTAATGAAGGCATGTTAAAAGATCAAAGCCAATTTCAATGTTTAATCCATTGGAAAATTTGATTTGAAACATTTTAATCTATTATATTTGAATGAAATGAACAATTGTCAAACTTTATTTCTTTTTCAGACAAGAAAAATGCAAAAGGAGCTGTGGAGATAGCTCAGTAGAATAAGTGCTTGCCTGGCAAGCACAAGGGCCTGAGTTCAATCCCCGGTTCCACCAATAAATAAATAAATAAATAAATAAATAAATAAATAAATGTATGGTTTAAAAATAAAGAAAAATACAAAAAAGCACATCTAAAATTAACCTTTCAATTCTGCAACCATTTTGAAATAAAAAATAATAAAGGTGGCTCTGTCCACAAGCATAGCCCTATCCAGACAAACATAAAGCAAACTCACAATTAGACACTTGAAAATTAATGATACATCCATTCATTCTTGTTATAATTCAAGGCACATCATCTCCTAGTACCTTTTCTTGCTAAAATCTAAACTTCTATACAATTTTCTTCTAATTAGCTCAATACAAAATCACAGGTATATTTTAGGCAACTCTTTAAATAAAATGGCCCTTGGTGGATTTTTAATACCTACCTGACCAATGTCCAGTCTTCTTTCTCTAAGCATTAGCCCCTAACCTTCATTCGATCTCTGCCTTCCTTCAGTCTCAATGGCTAAACTCCTCTAAATCAGTCTGCACATGAACCTTTCTGGCCACTAAGATGGATTCAAGTGTAAGGTGTGAACAAAACTGCTAAATCACTAAAATTTAGATCTATCATGGGAGCTGTCTGATTGCATTCACTTCTTTTTCTAAAAAATGTATGTATTTGGTACAGGGTATCCCTACACAGCTTGGACACATAGTTGTCCTCCCATCTCAGCCTCCTCAGAGCTGGGATTATAGGCACACACCACCATGCCCAGCTTCGGTGGCAAGTTCAGTGCAGGGCCAGCGCAGCATGCAGTACTGGCAATCAAACACGGATCCTTGTGCTTGCTAGGCAGGCACTTAGACGGCTGAGTTGTCTCCCTGGCCCAGTTCACTTCTTAATGGATTTGTCCTAAAATGACAAAGACCTTGAAATCACTGCAAGTCTATTGCCACCACTAGGACACAAAAAGGAGGCAGCGTGAAAGATGCAGACCACAGCAAATGGACAGAAGGTGTTGTCATGGTTTGAACTCTGGATGCCTTCATTTCTCCTGGCTTAAATTGGCTTCATATGGTTCTGCCCAACTTGCAATGGAAAATGTCCTACAAACACACATTTGTTAGAGACATTATGTATTTTTTTTTTTTTTTTTTAGTGGAACTGGGGATTGAGCTCAGGCCCTTCTGCTTACCAGGGAAGCACTTATTCTACTGAGCCATCTCCCCACCCCTGACATTATGTATTTCTGACTAACAAAATTATTATTAATCATTAAACTCAACAAAGTTAATTAATTTGGTCTAAATCTTAAAAACGTCTGTTAAAATCTTGGTTTCTAGCCACTTCCTTTCTCTGCTCGCGCTCGTCGCGTGGAGATAACAGGCGGGGCCGCACCATGCAGAACGACGCCAGCGAGTTCGTGGACTTGTACGTGCCGCGGAAGTGCTCGGCCAGCAACCGCATCATTGGCGCCAAGGACCACGCATCCATCCAGATGAACGTGGCCGAGGTCGACAAGGTCACAGGCAGGTTCAATGGCCAGTTTAAGACCTACGCTATCTGCGGGGCTATTCGAAGGATGGGTGAATCAGATGACTCCATCCTAAGATTGGCCAAGGCGGACGGCATGGTCTCCAAGAACTTTTGAGTGGAGAGAGTTGTGGATGTGGAACGTGTGCTGCAAATAAATGGTCAGAATGAAAAAAAAAAAATCTTGGTTTCTAAAGGTGAAGGCTTAATAATCACAAGCATCAGTCCTGTAACCACCTGCAACCATTGGGTTTTCCTTTTTCCCCTGTGCCTTTCCAACTATCCTAATCATGACTTTCCTGTTCTCTCAAAGTATCAAAAGAGTGACACTAACTGCTTAGTATCCTTCTATAAATCGGTTTTGCTATCAGCTATAGGCTTTCCATCTCAGCTAAAGTCGCAATATTCTTGTGACTTTTAAAAGCGATCTTTCATTTGTACTTTGCACCCAATTACTCACATCAGTGATTATTTAAATATTCTGGATCTCCTGCAGTCCTTTCTCATCATTATCATTACACCCTCATTCTGGTCCAACTCTTTGAATTTCTTTAGGTGACACCTTCCATTCCCCATTACCTATAAATGTACAAACTTTTAGTAGCTATCTATCTAACTAGATAGATAGTTTGTAGATAGTTTGTATATATGTACGTACAGATGTATTTGTATGACTATGGTTATGTGGTACATATACATTTACATCTATATATCTGGAACTAATTTCATTTTCTTCTAAATATTATATATTCTAAGCATTTACTGGGGTGACCTGGATGCCAGATTTTATGGTAATCATAATAACATCCTCAGTTTACATTTATTGAGTGATTACTATGTGCCAGACTCTATCCTAATTGCTTCATGTTTATTAACTTGTATAATCCTCTTAACAACCTCGGAAGTAAACACTGTTATCCTTATTTTACACATAAGGAAACGGAGGTACACAGAGGTCAAAGTCTGCCCTGAGTAGGTGGTAGAGCTGAAATTCAACCTGAATCACTCTGACTCAGATCCTATACTTACAACTGTTATACTGTAATGCCTCTCAAATTTAGGATCTATGAAGACATTATCTAGAAATAAATTTTATACTGATGCTTATAATATTATAGGGCATAAATAGATTTGATGTTAAAATGCCTTATTAAATTGATGGTCAAGTTACTATTATTCCTAATTTATAAATGCAGAAAAAAATCAAAGATTAATGGGCTTATTTACCCAAAATCATTAAACTAATGAATGGCGAATTTTCATTTCCATCCAAGCAAAAGAAATTTAGATTGGAAAATTGCTTTCCCGTGGGCTTTTTCTATAGAGGTAAATGTGTGAAACTTTGATAAAAGTAGTGAGTCACACTCATTCTCTTTAGCTTTATTGAATTTGATAGTACTCACTGGGCTCCCTGGGGGACATCAGCATTAATGATCAATTAACACAATTCATTTTTTATTTTTGTTCTTCAAACTGATATCTTAGCCTCTCCTGAAATTCTTTCTTTCCTCAACTACCCTTGACATATTCTTGTCAAGTAACAGGTAAAAGAGACACAAAGTCAGTCTTGGCTAATTTTTATCCAGAAAAACAAAACTCTAGCTTTACCTGACTATTGATTTCATAAAGAGTGACACACTCTCAAAACTGATAAAATAAAATAGCTTAGTTGTGACCAAAACAGTGACCTTACCCTCCATGTTTCAGAAAGTGATTTTATCTGGAAAGTTGTGCTTGCAAACCAACCAGTCCGATCCATTTGAGGCAATCCTGGCACAGACTGGACATTTCATCTGCACAACTATGGTCCTTATAAACAGAGGGAGATACACAAAGATGACCAGGCAAAGAACAAAGCAGTCTGGAATTAATGCTGCCACAAACAAGGAAAGTCCATGGCTGTAAGAAGCTAGAAGATGAGAGGAAAGATTTTCCCTTAGAGTCTTTAGAGAGATGACTTTAGAAAAGATTTGCTTTCCAGTCTCTAGAACTATGAAAGCCTAACTTTCTATTTTTTATAGCCAACCACCTTGTTGCACTGGTACAGCAGCTCTGAAAACCAAACACGCTCCTCTTCTCTTTCCTCCTCTCATTTTCACATCCAAAGTACCTTTTGATAGCTAGATATAGATATAGATATGGATATATTGATATATCCATCTAATAAACATGTATGGTATATTCACACAGCATATAAATATATATCATATATTTTAAAAACACATATTAAAACCTCAGTGAGAAACTTTGAAATAAAGTGTCAACAACTTTGGAATACAGTTATCATTTGACCTTTGAAAGAATTAATAAAAAAATAAATCTCTGTTTAAATTTACACAATTGTCTCTATATTTCACATAATTGATGGGCCTTTCGAGTTGGTATCCAATGGCAGCAAGCAAGACAGAGCCCTTGATAAATCCCTTAGCATTTTAAAAGACCCTACTGCCACTCGCAAAACTATCTCCAATCTATTTTTAATGGTGCACGCTAATTTCCCTTACCGCACTGGAGATCAAAGTCTATTAAAATTGCCAACTTTTACAAAAGAATACTCTATGACTACAGTCTAGATTTCAACTTTTTTTTTTTTTTTTTTGGTGGAGCTGGGGATTGAACTCAGGCCCTTGTGCTTGCCAGGCAAGCACTTATTCTACTGAGCCATCTCCTGGGGCCCTAGATTTCAACTTTTTATTCCCTTGGAAATGTCCTTTATGCTATGTCAAAACTGATGGCTAGGACTGTTACTCAATTGGAAATGCCCTAAGCTGTCCTACGATACCTGAAAGCACCCTATTTCCTCGCCCTCAGGACCATCTTGCTGCTTCTCCTCCTCTTTGAAGGACAGCAGGTGTATTAGATGAACGGCCCATCCTGCCTCCCTATGCCTCATCTTCACCTAATGGGTTGCACCACAATCCCCTTATCTTCCCTCATCTATCTTCTTTGGTCTGTGGACATAATAATCCAAATGTCCTATGATTACTAGACTGGGGATTCATGAGTGGATGTTGTGCCTAGCTCCCATCAAATTTAAGTTGGTCTCCAAGTGCTGTTTCCTAACCACACTTTTTTTTTTTATTTTTCAGCTATGCTGTATGGTTTCCTGTTAGAGCAAACAAAATGTCAAACATAGGTCTTTATGTTAGCCAAACAGTTGAAATTTCTCTGACAAAAAACAAATAAGTCTTGAGCATTACACTCCTAGGTTCATAAAGTCAAAGAAGATCATTTGATAGTTTCTACTGAAATTGGGAACATCTGATCGTCGTCCTCTAACATTTAAATGGACATTAAAAAATAACACAATTTAATAGTTAGGTATTTGTATATATGTATTTTTCAGTGAAGTCTTCCTGACAAGGCTAACAGAATATAGCTCTATTTTCCATAAGTAGATTTCAAGAGCTAGGCAAGTAGGAAAGTTTGGAGAACATATTGATCTTATCTTCCAGCACTGTAACATCCCATGACTGCACAAGCACAGCACTTTTTGTCTGGCTAAGAACACAAGTTGGGCTTCATTATAGAACAATTGTGCCTCTTTCCATTTTATTGGTTTCTGGTTCAGAATTGCATCCTAAAACTGACAGTGATCCAAGGCTTAGAAAAGGCCTGCTCAAAGCATCTGGAATTTGAAAGAGACTGCCTAAGGGAGTTGAAAGCACTTCCTCCTTCAGGATTCGCCCAGCTCTATCCTTGCATTAAGTCAGATCTTCAAAAAGTGGGACACTTACACTTTATTATTTGGACCCTCTTAGGAATATCTTGATTGAGTTATGGTTTAATATCCTATCCTCAGTTTTCAAAGAAGACTGATTCAAGAGGGGTCAATCTGAGCAATCACTATATAAAATAAAGCTGGAGTTGAGGATATTGTTTATGTTATTAAGTCTCTTACACAGGGATCCACATAAAAGGTATCTTTGAATTTATATCCTGAAATAAGATTTTTCCACACGCTAATGCAGATGCTTATTTGGGTGTTAAGCAATCTAAGTTATATAACCAAAGTTATTTCCCTTTAGCCTTAGAAGCCAAAATATTCAGCTCAATTCAGTTCAGTAAGCAACTGAAGAATTTGCTTATCTGCTGCATCCAATGACATAATCATGTTCCTTTTAATATTTGTTTTACACAGTTGTTTATAGTTGTCTCATCACATGTTATGATTTTATTTAACTAAAGACTTCAAACATTTTGCATGTAGGACAGGAATTAAGCTTAAGACCTAAAATCCTTCTCTGTAATTTTATTTTTCAAAAAAAATGAAGTTGAAAGACTTTTCAAGGGACCTAAGCAATAGTTTCCCTTTGAAATACAATAACAATGGAAGAACAAAAATCATCACGCTATTGTCTTGCACCAGCCAAGTGGCAATGATAATACCTATCATTACCTTTCTTAAAAGTCTACCGTTTTTAGTGTTGTGATTCCCAGAAGTATACAAAATTCAAAAAGAAACTGAAGATAAATTCATGCCTTTTGCTGTCTTCTACGGAGCATTAATAGCTTTTAGAACTGAAATTATTTTATTAATTTGATTAGGATGAAGAAAAATCCAAGACTCTAATGAATAATTCAGATTTCTGTCAGATCCCAGAAAGCCTAATGGAAAGTACTTTTATACCTCAAAAAATGCACTCACAGTAGACCATACATTTAATTTTCAATAACATTGATTTATTATTTTATAAAGAAAAATAATAAATATAATGAATCACCCCCATATTTCCTGATCTCAGTCACTATAAAATAACTGCTGTAGTTTTACATTTCCAGTGTGAAATATTAAATGCATAAATCAAAACAAAATTATTTTTCATCTAGAGAGAAAGAGAGACTGGTTCCTGAGACTGACAAATTCATTTTATTTTTAAATTAATGTTTTAAGGAAAAACACTCCATTGAATCCCTACCAGCTTTAAAAAGAGAAAAACAAAGAGCTTTGTATTGCACTGTTTCGCCTGTGATGTCTTTCAGATAGGTACTCTGTAGAAAATTATTAAGGTCCTTATAACTCCAAACTTATCAAGAGCCAAATTGTACTTCCTTAGATGAATCATTTTCCTTTCCCACTTCCGGGTGCACAGCATTTCCTTTTTTCATAATTGTTTACCCTCAGTTGCCACCCAGAGATAAGCTTCACCCACAATATGTTTCTCTACTG